TTTTGTAGATCCATTTTGCCCATGTCCAACATGAAGGAAATGTAACTCCCGTTTTGCAGACCACATTAAATGGTGTAAACTGCTCTAGATATATAAATGTGCTTGTAGTTTTGCTCGCTTTTTCTAGATTATAAGCCTCTGTATGTCAAAAAGTGAATTAACTGTATATCTGTATGTCAAAGTTTAGTAAATGAAGTCATACTTAATGGTCCACGTATGACCTCTTCAGAGGGTTAAGGCATGTAGACTTCAATTTTATACAGCTTTGTGATAATAACTGATGAATCTTGCTTAAATAGTTCTATGTTGGGTGGTGCGTGGTACGTTTGTCTGTATTAATGTCTCTAATAATGATTGTCTAATTGGTCCATTATGAAATCTGATGTTTAAGTTATTTTTGTAGATAAATGCCTTGTGTGTGGCATTCTATGCAAGATCTGAAGAAGCTCGTCAGACTCACTCTGCTCACAAGCTTGCTTTGGTGAATATTATTATTCTTTTCCTTCTTTTCATTGACTTCCAACTTTTTATTTAGAAGAGAACTTAATGTGTTAATACCCTCATCAGTGATTTTCTAAGCCTGTAAGTTACTTCTTAACAATGATATGTTTTGTTGTTCTTTGCAGGGAGCACTTGCACTAGAAGATGCACTTTCAAAAGGATTACCAATCCAGACAGAAATAGAGGCTTTACACACTTATCTTGAAGGCATTGATAAAGATTCAATTTTAGATTTGGTCCTATCATCTCTTCCTGAGGAAACACGAAGGAATGGCACAGATACCTTACTGCAATTGAATCAGAAGGTTAGTTATTTTCTTACTTCTTCATTAAATATTTGCTAATGGACTCACCCTTCTTATGCCGTCAACTATTAACATCCTTCTGTAACTTTTTACTTTTACGATTGAACTATGCTTTGGTCCGCTCTAATTAATGGCCAAGACGTTAACCTTACTGCTTTATATAGTTGACGGGAGGAATAATATTCCTCCTAGATAGTTTGAATGCCCAACGTTGACCTGCTAGTAATTCATGCATGTCTAAGTTTTTCGACATAAAGTTGTTAAAATTGTGCTCAAGAGTTGCCTCAGAAGTCATACATAGAGCAACAGGTTATGGATACGTAACATATTCTATGTTACTACTACATGAAAGATGTCTGATTAGATTTTTGGGTTGAATTGTTCTGTATATAAGCATTCAGAACTGTTGATGAGATTCTGTCTACTCATTTGTTCATTTATTAGCAAGGGTGGCAATTGCCCCATTTGTCATTTTTAAGACATGCCTTTAGGACTTACTTGGGGCTGATATTCTAAAATAGTTATTGTTGACTAGGATCTCTTTAGTATTTTGCCTTAAATTGTTTTATCATGCTGACAGAAATGCACCACTTCATATGCTTGGAATTTGGAAACCTTTTTACTCCTTTTCCCTTTGTCCTGGACAAACTGAAGCCTTGGTTCTAATTTCCCTCTCTCTATCTCGTGCGTACTTTTTGGTTGTAAAAACATGTAAGATTAAATTTAATATGCTTCATTAAGGACGTATTGACTAACGTTTCAAGTATTCTCAAATGTTTGTTTGATCACTAGTCTTCTGTTTGGTTGAGATATTCAAAATTTTGGTTTAGCAACTTCCTTAATAAATGCATAAAGGATACAGGTTCAGTGTGAGCCATTTCGTGAGTTAATGAGTATCCATATGAAAAATATATGAGGTATTAATTCAACTTGCTGCAGATACAAGAATTACGGAAATCCTTAGTATGAAATGAGAATAGTTGAGTGCTTCAAGTTCTGAATTGTTAATTCTTGAAATCCTAGCAAGTAGGGTAATACTTAGTGCTGTACTAACTTCATTCTTCTTGCAGTTTGATGCCTTGAAAGGGACAGTACGGCACCTCAGCTTAATCCCTCTTGGTGGTGGCGGCATTTTGGCACATTCCTTGGCACATATAGCATCCTGGTTGAAGGTAAGTAGATATGCGGCCTGTGTTTTCCATTCTAAATCACTAGTATAAATTAATTTATTGGAATGTTCGTTGTATTTGTTTTTGGGATTTTGTCTAGGTAAAGGAAGTTGATCAATCTGGGGATGGAATTGAATCCATCATCAACAAGGTGGAGTCCTGCCTTGCTGACGGGAAAATAGCCGAAGCAGCAGAGGCACTTGAAGAAGGTGTGAAAGGCACCCAAGCAACAGAAGTAGTGCGCGAATGGGTGAAGCGTGCTAGGAATAGGGCTATCACAGACCAAGCTCTTACACTTCTCCAATCATATGCTACTTCTATCAGTGTCACATAAAATCCACTTCTTGAGTACGCATACTGAGGCTGCATAATTGATCTACATAAAGGTTCTTTGGTCTAGTGTTGTAGCTCCCGATAATTGCCTGGTTCTGATGTAAACAAACAAATCATAATGTGTTACCGACATTATGATTGAAAATGTCACTTAATTTTTTTTGGGGGGTTTAATGTCATGGGAAGTTTCTGAGCAATTGTATTTTTCGTCTTCAGCTTGAGTAGATTATCTATTACCCTCTTGAGTGGCATATTGTTTCAAATGCTGCAAAAGAATTTTGCATGCTATAATGGCATTATAGGCTGTAGCACTGCTTCAGAACACAGTGACTAAATTGGCCACCGTGATGTAACACAGGGACTATTTTTGCATTTAAGCCTTGTTGTTACCATTATTATTTTAAGTCAGGCATATGCATGACACATTACTTTTAATACATATTTCGACAAGGTTTAGCCTGGTGGATAAGGGCATTGACTTGCAGACTAGTGATATCAGGTTCGAACTTCAATGACACTCTGATAGTGTGTGTGTGAAAAAACTCATCTTCTTGTAGTTTAAAATATCGTGTATATTAAAAATATATATATTTTTTAACGGAATTGGTGATAGGTGACATAATGATTTTCTTTTTGGTGAAAAATTGAAGCTAGTGTATAAGTTAAGGTGACATTCTTATAGTTTACCCATTAAAGGAATAGATTCATTACTCAAGACAACGACAAGCCTTCGTGCCACAAGATAAAAAGCATGCACATTGCACATCTCGCCCAAGCTTCACCTCAACACTCTTCCTTCTCTAAGTCGAGAAAAACTTGTATATCACAGGAATAACACTGTTTTGTCATATCTAACCAATCATGTTTTGCCATAAGTGATAAAAATTCTACATGACGGAACATAATTATATAGGAATAGCAAAACAATATTATCCCCATGACATACAAGTCTCCTTTGAGCCTCCTCTCAAGATTTACTTTTCTATTTATCCCATCAATAAATCGACCAGCACTAAACCGTTTGTTAGGTAGACTGCATGTGGTCGAAGTCAAAATCAAAATTTCCTCCACTAATTTTGGTAAATTCGATGGGCGATTCCGGTCTCTCAATTCAATTATCTAAACTAAGTCCATTCTTAATTCGTATGGTACTACCAAGCCTCCTGACAATTGATGGCCATAGTTTTTTTTAATTTATTTATTTAAAAAAAATTGAACTTTTGGCCGTAGTTGTGTGTTATTGTTATGGCGATTTTAAAGGTACTATTGACATTTAATTTTCTCGTAACTTTTATATTT